TGTTGTCAATTTGATCTCACATAGATAATTCTTTTTTTTTTTTTGTACTTTAGATGAAGGTGTACAGAACAAATAGTTTCTCATTAAACAGTACACATATTGCCCTATGACAATGGTTAACAACCCCACGACATGTCAACACTGCCCTTTCTCAACTTTGGGTTCCCTATCACCACCTTTCCTGTCCCCTCCTGCCTTCTAGTCTTTGTCCCTGGACTGCTGTGCCTCTTTAGTCCCGTTTTGTTTTATGGGGCTGTCCAATCCCTGGCTGAACGGTGAACCTCGGGAGTGACTTCACCACTGAGCTAAAAGGGTGTCCAGGGGCCATACTCTCGGGGTTTCTCAAGTCTGTCAGGCCAGTAAATCTGGTCTTTGTGTGTTAGAATTTTGTTCTACATCCTTCTCCAGCTGTGTCCAGGACCCTCTGTTGTGATCCCAGTCAGAACAGTCAGTAGTGGTAGCTGGGCACCATCTAGTCGTACTGGACTCAGTCTGGTGGATGGAGGCCGTGGTAGCTGTGGTCCATTAGTCCTTTGGACTAATGTTTTCCTTGTATCTTGTTCTCTTCATTCTCCCTTGCTTCCGAAGGAGTGAGACCAGTGGAGTATCTTAGATGGCTGCTCACAGGCTTTTAAGACCCCAGGTGCTACTCACCAGGGTAGAATGTAGAACATTGTCTTTATAAACTGTGTTATGCCTATTGAGCTAGATGTTCCCCCAAGACCATGGTCCCCACAGCCCTCTGCCCAGCAATTCAGTCCCTCAGGGAGTTTGGATGTGTCTATGGAGCTTCCATGACTTTTCCTCAAAGGGAGGGTTTTTTTGATCCACGTAGTAGGTTAGACGCATGTACTTATCTTTTGCTGATTGAATGCCACTTCTCGCTAGTTCTGAAGGCTTGAGCTGACTCTCCACCGCTTGGTCTCTCCCAAAGTGGAAAACGTATCCCGAGCGCCACTTGTTGCCTCACCCTGCTCGTGCCAGCCGATCCGGCCTGCAGACTGTGAGTGTTGGCCAGGTCAGGTCTAGCAACTCCTCACTGCTTCTGAACCATCTCTGCCTGCCCCTGCCGCACAGTCCAATTCCTCAACTTTGATGTTCAGGGCTCCTGGATTGTCATATGTAATCGATTCACTTGTTTTATTTTTTATTTATTTTTTGTTGTAAATGGGACCACAGGAAGCATCTGACTACTCTAGCATCTTGGCCCCGCCTCAAGC